GTGTTGAAAATCGATGTATATTTGTGAGTGTTAATCAGTTGTGGATGAATTGTTGTTAGCCTGTGTTTACAACCAATGGGAAGATTGATGTGTAGACGTACATGCAATCAGAATCACATGTAAATTTACATAATAGTTTAAATGTCTGAATTACAGCAAGTAGACAATAAAATAGATGAATAGGCTCGCTACAACAACCTAGAAAAGTTTCATACTACTGGTAACTCTCAACTGTTCAAAAACACTGGTCTAACAAGAATGTAAAGGAATTACCAACTGATGATAGTAACTGCTAAATGACAGTTTGTAATTTATCCATACTTTATTCTAGTAATTAGTCCTCAGTCTTCGAAATATCGGCAGTCATGTCTAGATAAATAATCCAGTCACTTAGGTCTTTGTTTTCAGATTCGTTTAATATGATGTCGTTTATTCTAAATTCCACAGCGGATTGTGGGTTAGACAAGTATCATTTACCAATACATGAGCGAGAACTACTTTAAAGGTTAGATATATACGAATAGACCTACGCGATACCAAACATTATTCAAATCTACTCTCAAACCACCAAAATGAATAGTAATTAGGATATCCAAAGTATTCATTGGGATGGATTTTCCGTAATCTTCCTATCAATGTATTAGTTACTATACTACCAATATTGTATGGATTCGGAAAGTATGAATTGTATTTTAAAGATGATGTCCCTGCCATATGTTTGAGATTTCTTGACTTCCACGTTGTATGGCTTTGATGCCTAGAGCTCCCCTAACTGTGAAACAGTAGGGCAATGAAGCTTATCTGTTTTTGATTATTCAGGCGTATGATTCATCATGAAAACCACCGTCATCATAAAATGCACAATAATCTTCAAAACAAATTATTAATATGTTTGGGAGAGAATCCACATCGTTTATATTATTTTTCAAGGTGTTGGAAACACCAAGTGGATTATCCATTTTTGCATCAGTCGACTTTCAAGACAAATGAGAGAAATAAACAAGCCGTCAAGTTGCAATAGAAAGCCTTTTCCATTCAAACACGCCATCATTTCTTGTATTGAACTCCAAAAAAGATTTTTGAATGCTATTCCGTACTTGATTGCTAAACAGCTAAATGATAGTACAGATGATCTACTTTGACCTAGACATGTAAGGCTGTAAGAAGAGTTGACGACGATCACCAGGATATTTTCGGGAAATGTCAAATTCTAACTATTTTACATATCTTCACTGTTTACCTATAGTTTAAAGCGACTTCGTTCGCCCGCTGATAGTTTACTCGAAAGCTCTCTTTCTGTCCCTCAGGAGTATTTAAGCTTAGTTATTGAGAATATATGGTCTCCTAGAATTTTCGATTGAATTACAAATCTGTTGGATTAGCCTTTTACGTCTACTCTGTGTTAGATGACAATCCAGGACGTGTTTGGAAAAAAACGTGAATAGGTTGATTCCTTCGGAGATTTGAGAAGCTGTTCCAAGTCTAGTCTGTTTGAAGTCAGAATAGATAAACAACTTTACAGAAATAACAGAATATTGACCTAGGTGTGTTTATGGCTCCAGATGCTGCGAAATTCACGTGTACTCAATCCGATTCCATGTAGGATTGAGGGTGCAGACTGGTGAGTATCAAACAGGGATGTGATAGGTACACCAGGCTCGATTTTCTTTCGATATATCATCAGATCATGATAGTTGTCATCGAATCATTCTGTTTATTGGACAGACATTGAACATGACGGCTTTTGTTAGTGTTTATCTCCAGACAGTAACAGGGAGAAAACTATGAGTTGCCCAGGTCTAAAATATCAAGCAATTGGAAGTTTCGTTGATCATATATATAACGTCCTCTATTTGATTACAGCAGAATATGATATACAACTAAGGGTACTCGAACGCGTAAAACCGCACAGCCGCAAATTAGAGTACGGAAGAAGCAGGAGAAGTGATTATCGTGTGAGAATCAAGAATGTACATAAAAACATGGGTATTTATAGTTATTAGCGTTGGTTTCAACACCATTATAACCCAGTCAATTTGCAAATAGGCGAATTACTCTATCGTCCAATCGTAGCATGCCACGTTGATATTCTAGAAAGCTCTATCAAACTCTGGTTGGATAGAATCTGTACGGCTTCTTTAGAGCTTCTAGAGGCTTTGTCGTGCTTCTGGAAGCCAACCCTGTAATATATATAGTTCATATACTCGACACATCTATGTGAATAATATCTTTTACGAAATTTAGATAAAGATTTCTAAAACATGGCATTAGTTTCATTCTCAACACAACCAACCTTCATAAGTCATTTCTTTTACCAAAAAGTCTTTATAAATCAGTAGTCAGTGTGTGAATATTGCTTAGTCAGGTGTTGGTACATTGCCTGTTTATGCTTGTTCTCACCGACTAATAAACCATAAAAATATGAATATACTATCTCAACGCAAGACACTAATAAACATGCTACCTTACTAAAGCTACAATTGACCTCCAACTATCTAATACTAAATTTTTCATGCTCATATCATTAAAATGACAAACGATCTCATTTTAAATATAATATCGTTAGGTAAGTTATAGATGTCGACAAAAAACCTATAAAATACGCTCTAATTAGATGGATGAATTAAATGAAACATTTAATCGGAAAACAATTAAATGATAAATAAATTTCCTATTCACTGCATATTATATATGTTTATGTAATTTTCTCTCAGTTATAAACAATGTGCCCATTACTCAGTCTGTTTAGAGTTATCAATTCAAATATTAGTAATCATATGTTGATTAGAATGGATTGTCAATCGGTCAACATAGAAGTTTTCAAAGTTTCAATTTCAGGAATAATCAAAAGTAGATTGTTAATTGGTTATAAACGAAGTAAAAAATGTCACTTATTATGGTCATAAAGCTGTTTTATGAATGTGATATTGATTTCAGTAAAATATTATATTCATCTGAAATATAATGGTTTCAAAAAACCAGCAAGTTAAATATTGAAATAATGTTTGATACAATGCTTAAGACTATTGTTTGGTAAAATCATCTTCAAGTAGAAATTGAATCTTTACAAAACATAAAGGTATTTACAAGTCAAATTGCGCAATAAGGTTTTGTATATATACCAGCTAAAATATAATTATGACGAAAGTTATCAGCTGCGCTGCAATGTATTTATATTCTGAATACCAGAAAACTACATCTACTTGTTCAACAATGCAAATAGGTAAAGGGAAATTAAATTTATCTACTTCAGTTGATTGCAAGTAGTAAGTGTATCACCTACGCTGGAGATAATTCAGTATTTGTATTTATCACTAGATCGAAGTATAAACCTTCAAAATCACATATCTGGAAGTTTGTATTTATTAATAATAATTAACTGTTAAAAAGAAAACAATCGGAATTAATAAGCTAAAAACTAGATAAATATATTTGGATTATTAATCAAGAACCAATACTGAAACATTTCAATTTATGTGGTAGACCAGATACTTTATACAATTATTTAAATGTATGTAATGAATTTGATGAAATATATCATGAATATTTACCTTGAACGATCTTTCTTTTCTTTGGTGGTGTGTGTGTCTAATTATGATAAAAAGATGTTATCATTTGATAACCACAGAGGAGATACTAGGCACTATAGAGCTGAGTGCTTTAATATTGAGCTTTCTGAGTTACAAATAGTTTTCGTATCAGAACTGAGAAGATTTTATCTTACATCATCTAAGATGGTTTCTAATCAGAATATCTTAGAAATTATGAATCATGTACAATATGTGCATAAATAAATTTACACGAAATAATATTTACATTAACTTCCTAAAACAATAAAATATCTTCTTTACTTTCTGTTCATTGATATTTCTTAAGTGCTGTTGAAAAGGTGTTTTCGCTTATATCGCTTTTATGAAAATCTGAGGTTAAATTTCTTCAGACAGACCAGTTGATGTCTTCTGCTATACCACTCAAAGGCGTTTCTTTCAAAATAATTGAGATTAACAGAGAGGTACACGTTTAGCTACCAAATTCAATATTTCCGTCAAAACGTTTCATTTATCAAGGCGTAAGCCAAAATGTCGGAAAGAAACTACTGTGTTTAACACAGATCAATTTCTCATTCAACAATTTGCCAAATTATAATTGCAAGTATGAGAATAAGAGTACACTATTCTGCAAAATAATGACTAGCTCACACGCCTGTATTATATAGTATGTCTTCCTCAACAAATTGTCTTTTAATTCAATCCGACTGAATCAAACAGAGAAACAATATATACATCGTAAGATATGCTTCCAATGAGTATAAAATACTTTATAGATTAGTTACTTTCCTAATCTTAGAACAGTAAGGAGTAAGCATAATTTAGACTCAAGAAGCGAATTAACTAATAAATATGTATGGACAAATTCGACGAACACAAGGTAGAGATTAAGTACAATTTACTGATGGTACAAAAGGGAAACAGTACGTATGCGCTAAGTTTCTTAAGAGTTAAGACTAAACTATTTAAGATCATGACATTTAGTGTCATGATTGAAGAGTAATTGCATTACCAAATTATTACTCATAACGTAAATGAGAAGCAACATTCTCATAGTCTTAGGTTTGACGATACTTAATACACGTGATATGACTCTAAATCTATTTCAGTAATGGATAATTTTCCGCATGAACACACAGGTATGCTATCGTCTGTGATTCTTTTTCATATTTCGTCCTTTTGATAATAAAATCGCGAGTAGTGTGACCGATTCACGATTGTTAACGTTCAAATGACAAAAGGTTTTCTTATAAATCGTCAAAGCAAACTCAACTTGAATCGAATTACTTCCCAAATCTAACTGTAAATCCCCATGTCATAGAGCAAACAAGTTGAATATCATAATATATCATATATACTTAAATGGAGAATCTATGAATCCTTTCGAATTAAGCAGTAGCGCAAACACTTGTCTTTGTTACGACGGAGTTACCCACTAAGACTACGAACAAATAGGTTAGAAATATATATTTGAAGGGAACACATATTTTATAGTTTATATAAATATTTATACTTTAAAAAAAATTGAAAGCAAATAAATTATTATTAGTATTACGGTTTATATAATGTCCAAATAACCTAATTGACTAGCACTTTACATAAATATACGTTTACTGTTGGGTAGTATAGTACCATTACAAATATCACTGCAAACTGAGGTAGTTATAACAAAAGCATCTATTGTTTACAGAATGCTTAATTACCTGTTTAAGATTAACACAAGGAGTATAGTGAGTACAGCATAAGCTTAAGAAGGTGGATAGTCGGGTAGAAATGTAGATAAGATGTAGTGGGAATAAACAGGAAATCGGAACACGTAAAAGCAAACATAAACAAAATACTAAACAGGACAAAAAACATAACCCATCAAATACAGAATCTTGTTAAAATTATAAATAAATAAATGTGAAAACACTACTTCTCTACTTCATTCTTTTAGCCAGTAATAAAAAGAAACAAAACACAACAACACTCCCGAAATAGAATTGTTAATTATTTTTGCAATCACAATGATGAATGTATAAATACCAGTGCCCAGTGGACACACATTTACACAAAAAGACCTACAGATTAGTGCACAATCACAGTTACCAAATAGATTTCATTTCTACAGTCTGAACTCAAAGAAAGGAGATTAATTCATTTCTTATATTATTAGACGAAAGACGGACCAATAAGTAGTTGAAGTAGTAGTCATAGTTGCAGTATTAAAAGTTAAGTAAACAGTAATAACAGATATTGTGTTAGTAATGGTGTACAACTATTCACTTTCTATGAATACAATAATAATATAATATGCAAATTTTAATTATTTTTGTCTTTTTCCCAACACAAATAATAAATCAAAACGAAACAAAATGTTGTTGTTCATACTATACAGAATAAGTTTATAAAAGGAAGGTTGTTAGATAAACTGTTTATTTCGGATAACACATCGTTGTTACTTTTAACGAATATTTGATTGCTCATAAAGTTTTATGCGGAAGTTGATCCTAAATTGCTTCGTTGACTACAAACCTCACGCATTAATGGACTGAGGCCATCTAAACTGAGTAGTTTAGCGAATTCTGTCATACGAATTTCCAGGGTTCGTAAATCAATAAAAGCTATTAAGATACGGGCGTAAAGTTCGGTGGCAGACCGCACACGTTTAGAGCCTGCTTGCCAACGAATATAATTCCAAAGAAATAAAGTATAGGCCTGTCTAGCGGCAAACACAGGAGGACGTAGATCTTCAGAAAGAGAATTATCAGAGAATAGTTTGATGGCTAAAACAGACATTCGAAGAATATCATCTGAACCAACTAACTCATCTAAATGATCAAAAGCAGCGACGGTATTCGATTTATACAATTCAAATTCTTCACGTAAACCCATAGCATAGTTTGCTTGGTTAGAACGACAACGTGAAAATGATCGGAAACTATTACTTTGAAGCAATTTAGAACATGATCCAGAGATCACATTGTCTGGATCATTCAAAGAGGTGCTAGGAGTGGCTACTTCATCCAGCATTGAAACTGTTACGGTGGTTAACTGACCATCAGTTTGTAATACAGGATATCTTAATTTTCGAATATCACGTTCGAAGAAAAAAGACGAATATAGTACAATCAATCCGTAAATGTTTGTCTATATAAAGATAACAAAATACGACAATAATCACTTGATTATATATAAAATAAATCATTCGGAAATAGCTATACTAAATAAAATGTCAAGTTATAATACTCTGTACATACATTGGTACCACAATGGAAATGTTAATATAGAATTGGGACATTCCGAAGAACTCTTTGGCTCACTGTAATCAAATCAAAGAGAAGTACATAGACTTTACTGAAGATGAAGTTAAAAAAACTGCACAAACTGAAGGCCTATAGTCGGTTATTCGAGTAGGGCAACATTTACCGTAAATACCAAGTTTGTGTAGAGATATTTATCACCTCTAGTACTGTGAGAGCCCATATAAGATCAAATAAACTACCAAAAAGTGGGTCTGGCAAGCCATACTGAAAGGCTACTGGAACTTGAACTACTTTCGAATAGAGAATTTATTCTATGGTGTACAAAATATAATCTTTCCTCTAAAATATATGTGGGAGTTGTATCTTTTACTTAGTCATATGCTATCAGCCTCATTATACATATTCAAAAGACTGCTGAATATATAGGGAAAGATAACTTGAAGCCCAACAATAGAATTACAGAAACAGGACTGTGCTCACTATCAATAAAATCGTAATTAATATTTGAGCACGAAGACGCCTTCATTTAGAGTTGAATACTTTCTAGTGAGTGATATAATTACTATACATATGTATTGTAAAAAAATATGACATGTTGACGTTAGTTTTAAAGCTGTTAGCATGAGACGGACTGTAAATTTATTATAACCGTGATATTTGGAATAATTGAGAAGAGAAAATTGTAGAAATACTCATTTTCAATCAGTCATTCATCACTACTCTTAACTAATATATAGGACTTTTACAATTGAAATATAAAATAATTACCAATCAATTAACTATGAACCAATTCTAAACTAATTGTAATAAGAAATATAATCTACCTACAATTAATGTAATTTGGCAGTTGACAAATAGATAAAATCGATACAATTTTATCGAACGGTGAATTATAGTGACCTGCTCTTTTGATCTGATTAAGGTCATTGATAACTATGATAATGAAAAAGGATAAAAAGCGATAAGCTGGCAATCACGGGTCGGTGTGCATAAAAATGTCTACTTATATAGTTTGACTGAATTTATACTTTTCGTTAAAATTGATTACAATAGTACTTATTTAATTAAGGTTAATCTATAATTTCAGAATAGTGAGTTAAGTTGTTTATCAGCAAAATAGTTTTATTACTTAAATTGGTTATGGAAACGAATAAATCTGCCTTCAGCTAACTTTCATCAAAAATCAATTACAGAACTATTGAAGATCGACTGACAGCTAAGAACTAATTCCATGTTACCAAGTTTTGTAAGGATGACGACTCTTGTCGAAAACCCCTGAAGGCTATGATTTATGTACCAAACAGAATTGAAATCGCTAACTAATTAACAGATTTTAAGTTGTAACAATTTACTTCGGTTAGAGCAATCAGACAGTGCAGTTAGCCCTCATACTTAAAGTGTGGCTCATACCCAAGTTCCAGTTGAGTAAGTTGATATCTTTACGTTATAACAATCAGCCGGTACCATTTGGTCGTGGTTTTTTAAGAAGCTATTTATACATACCATAGTCTACGAACAAGTGCTTGATGATTATGATAAAAATATACGACAAATTTACCAATTAAATCCTCATAAATTTGGTTACACAATCTGGGTATTTTTGAGTAAAGATAATTAGTCTGATCATAGGACTCCGAAAATAGTGTTGTTAGGAGGAAGAAGACAATATATCCCATAATTTATTTCCTTCACTTCTACATCTAGGAGCTGAATTACAAAATACTTGTAACATTTTCGACTTCTGAACTGCTCTTGAAATGTTACACGGAACATTTCCGATTGTGTACAACAAACCTCAAAACGTGTAACCACATGTTGAGCAATAAAAGTTATGAATTTAACAACACAATTATACACAGCATGCTTCGTGGATCTCTACATTAGTAACTTGTAGACAGATTATAAAGTACAAACTATCGATAAGTATGCGATAACTGGGGTCGCAATTAAAGATGGTATGTGTTTGAATCAATATTTTTCTAGCAAACAAATCACAGCAGACGGTATTCAGCAATCAACTATGTACATATACAATGAGTCATATATATATATATATATATATATATATATATATATATATCGTGGAAAAAGTCGAAGAAATAATAGCGTGCAGCAGTAGCCACAAGACAAGACTAAATATTGTTTCTGATTTTCTACTTATTCTTTACATAATGTCGAACAATCGATAGTAAGTACGAATGAAACATAATATATGAAGGTTTAAACAGAAAGTTTACCATCTTAACTAACATCTACATATGCTGTAGGACTGAAACTCACCATCAGGTTTTCAGAAAACTTATCACTATATATGTGGTAGAATAAAAAGTGAAAAATGGGAAACTGAGAATTACCATGTAATTTAAAATGGATGGAATGACATCTGTAAACTTACTCTTAACAAACTTAGTTGAGCAGGTTTACCAACTTCACTAAAATAAGGCAACTGTTTAACAACCCGTATTATCCTCCGAATGCATGCATCCATTCGATTATACTCTTGTTCCAATGTGACAGCAATACCAGTTTCGAGTTGTTCATCCGGGGTAAATGGTTCTCGGATACGATGAACACAACCTTGCAAACAACTTAATAGGTGAGGATCCGGTGAAGTTATATGCATAAGAGGAGAACGAAAACATTTAGACCCAGACAAAGTACGTTGTCGTCGTAGTCGACGTTTCCGAGAACGAAGTCGACAACTGCGGTGTTGACAAAAAGTGCGACCACTAGACTTGCGACACTGTGTGAGGCACAGCCTATGACGTGCTTTACAACACTAAAGAAAACAAAACGAAAAAATACCAAACCAAAAGATTTTAAATCTCTTTCACAAAGAATTGCAGGATACGTTTAAAGTGAATGACATATACGATAGGAGTCTAAAACCTACTTGCATTACATATATATTCGTCAGTTGTAATGCAAATGCTAGCTGTAGAATAAAACTTGATATAAACATAGGGAAATAAAGTCCTATATCACTATAAAGATCATGATTAAAAAAAATCAAATAGACAATTTATCTTCTAAATTTATTATTATGAAGGGAACAAATGATTAACATTGAAGCTATAAAATATCCGAAACTGATAATTTACGAAAACCAAACAAATTTTCGATTGATTTACTCATTATGATTCTTACTCAACATGAATTCCATTTTGATTCAATGTTATGATTACTCAATGTAGTAATTGTTTTTTTCTTTTTCTCTTATGATATTTTATTATGTAATAATATACGATATTCTTGTATTCGATTGACATGAACTATACTCAGTAAGTGATTTGTTGTATGTGAATTACATTCTAATTATTAATCAAAATAAGTGTACGACTCAATATATAAATGAGTATATTTTCTACTAGTCGTCGTGTTTTGGAGTTGATAAACCTTCACTTATAACCAGTTTTTGTGTTTTTACTTTCGCGTCGTGGGAATTGCAGTGTTTCCTCGGTTTTACAAGTATTAGTGATAGGCGATTCCAATATAAAAATCAAAGACGACCAGATAAAACAAGGTAGCGTTCAATCGAGAAGATATGTTTTCGAGATGATGAAAGGCCACGGTTGGGAAAATATTACACGAACAAAAATGGGAGTATAAAGTATTTATTCTGTTGAACATGTAGATGGATACAGGAAGATGACAAGGAATATCTTAACACATGTTTCAAACCTCTAGTTTGCCAGTGAAATAGATGAATGGTTACATGTAATAAGACTGATTTTGTCTAACTTGTAAAAAGTATCTAAGTTTATTCCAAACAGAATAAACATGTTTTCTATACGCATGAGTATAATGATCAAGTCGAAAGGATTTTAACTGACGAAAACTTGCACATTAGCTTGAGTCCCGATCTATTATTCAGTCTTTTTGACTGAGTAGTGTACAAAGGTCAGTGACTTCAAATAAAATCTTTTTGAAAAGTTGTACATTTCTGTGATATACTGTAGTAATGCATATGAGATTATTTATCAAAGCCGAAAGTTCACTTACTAACTCCAAACCTAATACTTAGTTTACTGTGTTCCTTAAAAAATAGATAATGTATGCTGATGCCGACATTTATCGAATGCCGTTTAGGTCACATTTGGAAGAAAAAATAATAAGGCGCACCCAAAGGATCAGAAAGTGTCTACAAACTGCATTACATATTATTCTAATCTTTTTTCCTAACCCGCATACATAAACAAATCTCAGGTACAAAAAATGAAATGGTACTAATTTTCCAGCCATTTATTATCGTCATTACGATTACACAATCCCTTTTTCTTAAGTGATCTCCCATGTTGTGTCCATTTTATTTCGGTTATTTATTTACCTATATTAGGTCACAAAACGTCAGAAATACAATTTTCTACTCATTAGGATATCACTAGAATATGTTTATCATTAAATATAATCATTAGTAAAGACAACATAACTCTTCTAGTCGGTATTAATGATCATTATTTTCCAAGATTACTTACTAATCTTGACTTTGTTTGGTCATATATTTTGTGTCCTGTATTTTTTATTATGATCCTCGATTCCGCTTAGAAAATCCATATAAGTCTTTGTTCAGAATTACATGAGTCATTGTATTGTTAGACCGTTCGCAGCTGATGGGAAGTGGTGGAACAGAATAAATCTGTTTTATTCTCCAAACTTTGTTGCTTTGATCTGTTTAAACTTATTATGGGATTTAGATGAACGAAATATAAGATCCATTCGTATAATAATGTAACATCTAAACATATGCAAATTTAAAAATCCTTGTAGATGGCTGGCTAAACTCCAGGGTTTCAACTAAGAGTTTTTACACGAACGATGGATACTTTTATGAAGAAATTATCAGTTCCGACAGCTTTATACTGAAGATATTTGGTGAAAGACAAAATTTTGAAAGGTAGATGTCTTAACGTGACTTTCTTTTGTAAGTATCACCTTGCTTCCTAGTGCTTATTCTATACATAGACAGTAACAATATTATCCATAGTAATTGGGGTGTTTCGCTTCGAGATAATTGCTTCGAAAAGTGATTAACAGTGATGGATCAATTCTACTTAAGTGTCAGTATCACTAAAAGATTAACATTTTGCTAGACTACAAACAATATTCTTTTTATACATCCATTTCACATCTATATACTGTCTCATTTGAAATAACAGTTCACAATAACGGTTATCTTAAAATTAATCAATTAGTTATAAATGTGGATCCAAATAATTATTAATATTCTTGGTTCAAGCGGAAAATTGACTACTCAAGAGAGGATTGAAATGGACTGTGGTAGATCTTTAGGAAGATTTTAATTATACTAAGTGAGTTTAGGTTGTAAAAGTTTGCGTAGAATCTTTATAAAAGTAGCAATAGAGAGTCTATTCAAAAATATTCGGAGAACCTAGTATGGAGTTTTTAGTGAGTTTTACACACGATAGCTCGGGAGTGGAAGAATGGGTTCAAAACTAGTTTATAATTCCTGTGACCTGGAATGACCTTTGTTTTAATTGACCTAAGTTACACAAAGATATTTTGGAGTTGGATTATATGACAATAAATATGCTTTAAAGTCAGCAAAAGAACAAAACTAAAACCAATGAAAATTAAACTTATGGGTTTATATCAAAATACGTCAACAAAACTCAGTAACCAAGTTCGATTTCGTTCGTTAGACTTTGAGTCACTCTTACATGAAGGCTGGTATACAACTGAGTTACCGAAACCGAAGTGGGTGAAGAGGAATTGACATGTGAAACCATAATAAATGATTGCAAAATGCGTTTCCATATCATTAACATTGGTGAAACTGTAGTAGGATAAAAACATTCGTTAGTTTGTTAGCTGTTAAAGTACAAATTTCAAATGAAACCACCTATTATAATGGTACATACATGATCACTAGAGTGCTGCTAGAGCCAAATGAATTAAATGTCGTGTCCACTAAACGTAAATAAAAACGATAGTGAAATAGGGTGGTTTCATCTTCCTTAAAAATCTTTCCTACAAACTAAATACTACTTAAAAGCGCAAATTGATTACAACGAAACCTCATAGCTTGAATGTGAGGGCGTAACCGATACTTGGGAAACCTAACTTCAAACAATTATAAAGGCTTAATGACAAGACGAAAACCATTTGAAAGATAAGATGCTTTTACTCAATAAATTCCGGGAAGCCTGATTACATCTTTATGTGCCAAGAAAACCTAGATCTTTGTGAGTTTAGAAACAGATTGTCCTCCCGAGGAATTTGCGTTGGTGATGCTTAAACTATCCGAACCAGAGTGGCATCACAATGTTTTAGTCTTTCAATATTATACCGTATTTCTCTCTTGCATTTCCAACTAACACCTTATTGATTAACGTTTATTTCAATTTTACACGAAATGAGTTAACAAGTATATGGTCAGGTTATTGGAATTATATCGAGTAAATACATCAAACTTTGTCTTCTCACTTATAAAAAATGGTGTAAGTCACTTCTCGAGGACAATATAATACACAAGTTTTTTAATCACCTTTAAGCGTGAGTGCTAGAGATACTAGAGGACTCTTTAAAAAGAATTAGATGGATAGAGCTTTAAGCCTGAAAACTCACCGGTTGAAAACCGAGTACTTTAACCACTAAACCACCGTTTTCACACTACAATTTCAAGATTTACAGAAGCCGAACGTTTCAAATTCCCGCCATTCCAAAGCTTGAAAATTTCTACCTGAATAATATGATCATTAAGTGTAAGAGGAAACTTAAATATGCGGTCAAATTATTTAACAGTGCGGTATGACACAAACTATGGAGTATAACCATGTCTTGTTGTATTAAAATATCATCCATAAACTATTCCGATGCTAGACGTGACTCCTTATGTGAATGATTAATCCTATTTAGGTCATTCTCATCTTCAGAAATCGGAAAACTTTTGATTCATGAAGAAAAGCTTACTAATGGTTGTAATTATAGATGTAACAAAGGTAAAATCTTTAAAGAGTAACCAACCCTCCCAGATATCCTCCCTCCTCAATGAGGAGGGGGCCTACGTTAATAAACATCGTTGTCTCAATTATCCTCATCTCGACTATTCCACTTTTGAAAGTATAAACTCGGCTGTACGAAAACGAAATCAAGTATTTTTGAAAAGATTGTGAGTGATTTGAACTTAAAAGTTACAGAGCAAACTAACTGGCTGATAATAGTATAATTTCTAATCGAAATCAATTAACAACTTCCTCACTTCTCCACATACTTTTATTAATATTTCATTGCTTTCACCCCAAAATTAGCTTTCTTTCTGGTATCTTCTGATTTCATATTCTTTTCCATTAATTTTCTCTTAAATGTACATACACAACATCCAAGTTACTCAATCGACATTATCTACCCAATTAAACGGGTCCGCAAGGTTTTACGTCAGAATGAACGTCATTTCTTGGATGTAGTCTCGAGGTACAACCACAATAACCACAATTGCCGCAAACGTGTAGCCATGAAAGCAGAATCCACTTTTTGATTAGACAGACGAGCCAAGAAGAGTCAATTGAATAGTGATTTTCATATTTTAAAACAGTGAACAGATAACAGGCACCTGTGTTGTGATTGTGCTCTGAAAACTACCCAATTATGGTAAGCGACAACTCTAATTACAAGAAAAAATATTATCTTACTCAGCGCCTACTCATTTAAGCGTAGAGATAGAAATTTAGGAAGAATCTTACTTATAGTGTACATGTATGGGCTGCAAAGGAGAATGTTGGTTGATTAGAAAAGACCAAAATATCTTGGTATTTCTCTAGAATTAATGGACATTACTGACTACATTAAGATTGGCTACCAACGGAACCAGGTAATACAGACTCATAAAAGGTCTATCCAACTGCTGTATTGAATAATAAAAGCATAAGATGGAATATACAAATCAAGAATCTATGAGACAGTTTTAAATGATAATCAGTTACTAAGTTGGTTGAACATTAGCCCATAAATTTATAAACACCTTGCTCAAATTGTTAAATAAAATAATTAAATAAATGCATGTATACTATAAGGAATAAGGATTATCATACTATCGAATTAAATCAGCTTGTAGACGTTCTAGGGTTACTGCAGGTCCCAAGCTCAGATAAAGGAGGGTTGTGGAAAGAATCAGTAACTTCATCTCGTACGAGAAAGCCTTTCTAAAAAGCGCTAACCAGAACGAATAATTTAAACTCTGTCCTGAAGGTTGAAGGACCTTCGTTTATAAGAATTATGACATCTCATGGTGAAAGCCTATATTCTTCAGAAGTCATGAGGTCAATGTCCCTTCCAACAACCAGAGCAACAATTAATACATGTGCATGAAGTGTCTGTACAATGTCCGAGACCAGGAGGACCAATCAAATTGCTGTGGAAGTGAGTAGATACTACGTGGTAGTTCTCCGAATGAGTGAAACCCATTGGAACCAAGCTGGACAAAAAAAATAGATTGGAGAGAGATGGCACTTTACTCTGTTCACGAAGAAAATGCCCCACACACTCAGGAAGTTGCCGTACAAAGAATCCCGGGAAGCACTTAGAGGATGGGACTCTCATGGATCAAGCATCATCAAAGCGTTTTTTCAAAACAAAGGAGGAAATTACAATGAATGTTGTCCAGTGTAATGCACCCACGAGTGATAGCAAAGACGACGATAAAGATCAGTTTTCTGAGAGGCTGCAATCGATCATAGAGAACAGCTCAGGAAAAGACCTAACCGTCCTGATGAAAGACCTAAACGGCATGGATTGGGAGAAAGAAACGAAAATGGTGAGAAATTTGTAAATTTATGTGCCTTCAACAAAATGGTTACAGGTGGTATAATATTCCCCCACAAACGCATACACAAAGCTACATGGATCTCACCGGATCACACCACGGAGAACCAGGTAGTTTATATCTGTATCACTAAACAGTTCATAAGGACAATGGAAGACATAAGAACCAGGAGAGAAGCTGATATAGATTTAGATCACCACCTTACTTACTTGCTTACTCCTGTTACTCCCAATAGAACATAGGCCGCCGACCAGTATTCTCCAACCCACTGTTCTGGGCCTTCCTTTTCAGTTCTATCCAATTTTTGTGCATTTCTCTCGTTTCTATCTCCATTTCTCGGCGTAATGTTTCCTTTGGTCTTCCTCTCTTCCTTTGGCCTTGAGGATTCCATGTGAGGGATGGCTTTGTGACGCATTTGGGTGCTTTCCTCAATGTGTCCTACCGACTTCCAGCGCTTCTTCTTGATTTCTTCCTTCGCTGGGATCTGGTCTGTTCTCTCCCATAGTAGGTTGCTGCTGATAGTGTTTGGCCAACGGATCCGAAGTATTCTGCGTAGACAACGGTTAATAAACATTCGTATCTTCTGGATGATGGCTTTCGCAGTTCTCCATGTCTCCGCCCCATACAGTATAACTGTCTTGACATTTGTATTGAAAATTCTGACCTTGGTGTCGGTTGACAGTTACTTTAAGTTCCAGATGTCCTTCAGTTGTAAATATGCTGCTCTTGCTTTGCTGATCCGCGCCTTCACATCTGCATCAGATCCACCCTGTTCATCAATGATGCTGCCTAGGTATGTAAAGGCTTTTACATCCTCCCAAGCTTCTCCGTCCAGTGCGATTCGATTGTTGCATGCTGTGTTGTATCGGAGAATCTTGCTTTTCCCTTTGTGTATATTGAGACCTACTGCTGCAGAGGCTGCTGCTACATTGGTTGTCTTCTCCTGCATTTTTTGTTGCGTGTGTGATAGAAGAGCCAGATCATCTGCGAAGTCCAGATCGTCCAGCTGCATCCTAGCTGCCCAATGTATCCCATGCTCCCCTCAGATGTTGATGTCACCACCTGGTTGTGACCAAGATGAAAGTGAAGCTAAAGAAGCACTGGACAAACAGCATTTCAAATGTCTAATAAAATCTTCCTTTGAGATACTGACAAACTCGACGAGCTTAACAGGTCCCAAACCTTACAATATCTACTCAAAGGAGAAAAAACTACAATGGGGAACAACTGGAAAGGTATCAAAGTAGCACTAACTTCAAGGTGTTAGGAGTTGTGGGCCACAAGACGCGTCATCATAAAGAATAGATCTCTATCGATGAACTGGACAGGATTCAAGAAAGAAAAGACAAGAAGACAATGAACAACAGTCGAACAAGTGCAGAGAAAATCAAGGCACAGAGTGAATACACAGAGGCAAACAAGAGAGTGAAGGGGAGCATTATAATCAAAAAGACACTGAAGGTGGACAGGATATATATTGCAGAAATCAAGCTGCATCACAAAGCAAGCGCTAACTTGAAATCATGAAGATAAAAAGAAAAGAGTAAGATCAAGAAACACAATGCGTCGGGAATTAGAGGCAGATATCAAAAGAATGAACAGTAACTGGAAGAGATTGCCCAGGACAGAGTTGGTTGGAGAATGCTGGTGGGCAGCCCATGCTCCTCCATGACGGGTGACAGGCTTAAGTATATGATTAAACGGATAATGTCAATAGTTTATAAGTATCTCTGTAATTTCGTTGTATCCTGTCTAAAAAACACAAATTAGAACAAAAACGCCACACTTCATTATACAGTGTGCAAGTGAAAGCATTACAAATAGGCTCAACATCAATCTTTCTGAAGAGAGCCTTGCAATTGAACGATCTGAGGGGCGGTACAATCGGTGTTATATCTAAAAGCTTCCTGTTCAAAAGTGAAAAGCGTTGGGTGTGTGCAATGATGAAATACTAATTGAGATAAGATAACGGTCTGGGAGATCGAAATTCATTAATCATGTTTCGAAATCACTAAAATATCTTCGAAAACATGGTTCAGTTTTGTATATATGCATAGGAACAAAGGATGTGTATTTTACTTACACTATCTGACTGTTGAGATGATTCAAGAGATAAAAATTTCTCATTCAGATTTTGATCTTGATTTACAGGTGGCATAAATAATTCATCGGATTTTCCAATTACAGGGATTTTTATTGAACTATTTGGGAAGTTACATTCTTTGGTTTCTAAAGTACCAGAGGAATTAAATGTATCCGTAGTTAATGATAAGTCACTGCAATGACTTGAATTCACATAACTAGAAAATTTGACAGGATTTATCAGATGTAGTGGTCTGCTAGCTCCAGAAATGAATGAAGAATTGTAAGATGTTTGACTAGATCCATGTTGTGGGTGAGATGATGTAGTTAAAGGAGATGGTAAATAGGGAGGATAAGCATTTGTGTTACTACTGCCAACTGAAGAAGGTCCAGTTAACAAATTCTGAGGTGAGGAACTGCTATCCTGAGGAGAATGGTGCTTGCGGCGTCGAGGTTTAGCTCGTTGTTCAAGTTTTTCAGGTGCTAAAAAAACAGAAATGAACAGCTGAGAAAAAAACTATATGATGTACTACTAAAAGCTAAGATAAAAACAATAACTTATTTACTCAGTACTCTATAACTTTCAATCAATTTATTTAGCTTTACATGTAGTTAGAATGTCGAGCTTTGTACAATGGAGGGTAATAAATGAGCTACAGAATGAAACAAGTGTTAGGAAGAAACGGAACTGGGAGAATATTAACGGACACAATTTCAGTAAGAAAGTAAACACTATTATTTTCTGTCTTAAATTACATCTCGTTGCTAAAATGAGTCAAAAAGGAGTTTCTACTGATCTTGGCTTTTAGCCGTTGAGTTGTATGCAATTGACATTGTAACTTGCTAACCCCTTGTGCGAACCTAAGAGGAATGAGTTAGACCAAACGTGTATATTAATAAATTCTAAAGTTCTTGATCTTAAGCTGAAGTTCGGGAACAATAAACTCAATAGAACTGGGAAAGTTTCAAACCTGAAAATCAATTTTTCGAACAAATATTTACCATACAACTTTTAGATCATAAGGACAATAAACAACATCCAACTTTAGTTGTATTTCATGAACTTAAGGCCATATTTGACTCAGTTGAACAATGGGCCTTGGGCCAATGTATATAATTGAGTAGCGCACCAAAGTGCAATAATTTACTGAAGGTTTTTTTCTTAAATATTATTGGTCGATCCACAACAAATAACAAACTATTATCTGGATTAGTTACGTCACCCGACCTTAATACTTACTAAACGATGTTAGTACTGAACAAGAAAAATCATTCAGGGACAGAGTTTCAAATTAGTGGACTGATGAACAGCTTGGAAATAACAGATTTCATAACTGTAGGAAGTAAATCCTTACACAGAGATCTTTTACAGGTATCCTCTTTCTAACAAACAGCATACTAAAAACAGACTTGATGTTTGATGTGTCTTGCATAGTTTGAGAAACAATAAGCAGCTGGAGTGTGCAAGAAGTCTTCCAAGGTAATCACGACAACATAAGTTTAGTGGAAGAAAACACAAAGCTTCTGATACCGCCTCAAACAACCAAATTCATATTTTGACCCAAGTTTTCGTAAGAGTCGATTTGTCTGACCCGAATGTTTCGCAGTTTTAGTCTTTTTAAGAACTCTACGTTGTTGACTAACAATAGAGTTTGATGTTCAGATTTAGACAGTTGTTCAACATTTGGTCGAACTGTTTTTCAGTGTTTCAATAATTATTGACAGAGCTTTAGATGGTTGTTAATTTGCGTTTTCTCAAATTTAAAGATTGTTTCACTAATACAAAACTACTTACTGGTGATGGTTCAGATGGCTTGAGATATCAGTGGCCAAATAAAACTGGTGCTTTCTTTCGTGACATTCTGACCATCAAGTTTTCAGCCTTTAATGAGAGTTAGTGATGTTTCTGCGTAAAAGACATATCTATGATTATTTTTTCTAACTTGGTCTATCATTTAGGAAAAAATAAAGACAGTTCAGCGGAAATTTTTTCTTCGATGATTTCATTTTCTTATGCTATTTAATCACAGTTATGGTCAGTTTTCCTATAATAAAATATTAGTGTTAAATCATTTATTATTTGATTATATTGCTAGGTGCATCCAAATCACTTATATGGTGAGTTTTAGTCAGTCTGAATGTATTTAAACTAAATTTGAATGAACTTGATATCATGAGGACCAATTTTAAAGGGAAAATTTGAGATTAGAATATCTCTCATCACTATTTGCGCATAAGTTGGGAAAATAGAGAAAGGCAGATCTTGAACATACCGAACCACATTTCCTTTATAAAGATAACATATACTGTTTTCACTCCAAAAATTAAGAAACACCACTTACGTAGTATCAACTCTCTTTTCATCCCAACAGCCAAACATTTTTCAAGCCTGCACGAAGGGCAGTGTTTACGTTGATTGCCTTCAATAGCACACCCCCCACCTCGATTACAAGCTTTTATCTGAAAGAATAGAAATTTGTGTTTATCAGGCGTTTGTTGACGGATAAAAGGATTACTTAAAAAGAATGTAGTATATATCAAAATGAAGGATGACACTGAAAGAGGTGAGTAGAAGTAATCCCACAACTAATTATGAAGTTATTTAGGAATGATTACCTTGATTTATTCGAGTAATTGTGATTTCATAGTAATTAAATTGTAAATAACACTTTGAAACCACTCAATAATTCGCTTAGATTTATTATTTAGTACTACTTAAACAGGTCTATAGTCACAATATAGTAGAAGTCAAGGATAACTTATATATATATGTCCAACTGAAGGCAAGATGTAGCTTCAGGACCGATTTACATAAACGTCTACACTAATCACAGGAAGTGTAGTAGTTCAGTGTGCCGGCCACTTCATTAATCTTTGAAGTCAAACCCCTCTTAGTGGATTCTTAACTAATAAGATTTCACCAGTGGTTAAGAAAGCTAGACTGACATTCACCAACTTCATTTACTTGTGTTGTAGAGATGTGGATCTTGCAACCACAGAGCGACTAAACGGACGTACAGTGTGCTTTGTATTACTCCATGATTGTGATACATGGTCTATGAAAGAGATAAGTGTATTTTCCAGGCATTGATTACTGATGATGAAACGATCAAGTAAACGATACTGCAACTAGAAGTAGGATACTAGGCGATGTAAAAATGCTGAATTTGTGAATTTTCATAGGCGGAGGTAGTTGAGGCGTGTTACGCTAACTAGAATAAGGCTGGTAGAAAGCTAGGGGCATCTTAAACAAAATATAGCATCAGTATATGAAATTACTAATTGCTGGTTTGAGCCCTGTTGGTAGAGGTTACCTCAATTACTCCGATAAGTATCCAGAGTTCTGGGTGGGTGGTGTGGTAACTTGGCTAATGCATATTTGTGCCGCGCTCAGCGATGATTATGACCGATTGCCCATATTTTTTGAAATTTAAACATGTTAATCCGTCCATTAATTTTATACGTTTGTCTTATTTTCAAAGAAGGAACAGAATCCTGTCACTATAAACTGGAGCCAAACAACAACTTGATAACCATTTGATACATTTCACATACTTACACAAAGCATTATTAGTTGTAGCCCAGTGAATTAGGTGTTGAATTCACAAACAATGTAGTATGACTTTATTTCAATGCCATAGATTCTCGTTTTGGGAAAAAAACACTATTACCAATTAACACTCAACAAGTATAATTTGAAACATCGTAAGAACTCCTGTTTAGTAGGTGATGATATGAATAAAGCTTCAGGAAACTACGATTAAAACAATAAACCCAGAACCTTCGGCTACTTACAAAAGCACATCTTAATAACTTTTCTTTGCCCATAACTGCAATACAAAACATTTGCACCCTAGGATTCGCATCCCCTTAGTAGTGTGAGGACTGAAGATATTATTTAGCCGTTGTGACAAAATTAGTTGAAGATATTTTGATCTGGCCATGTACTTGTACTACTGGAGTGCGGTCTCGTTATGAAAAACTATAAGTTGTACAAACAATTCCCATTTTTGGTTTGTAACACATAAGTAAAAGACTTAGGTTAGACATGAGAAACCAGACTTAATTTCAACTCTATCTGATCGGTAATCACAAAAACTTAGCAGCGTTGTAAAAGCACATTAAACAAAGTTACTTAAATATAATTGAACTTGGGCGAGCCTTTTGACCGTACCGAAAGAAACTCAAACTGACTAAACGCAAATAATACTTTTACGTTTACACTAAGACTGTTAGTCACTATCTCAAGAGGGCTAACTCGATCCCCCTGGTAGGCAATATGGTCAATCATTACAACTTAGCTCCTATTGTTGAGGTATCTATACAAATTAGTTCTGAAGATTTATTTTTTGATTCATGTAGTAAAAAACTCAGCTCAAACATTATTAAAGGACCACTCAGCGTCCAGAAAGCGATGTATCTTGTTAATGTCCCTGACTAATATGGTTATCCCATCTATTTACCCTAAATTGATTAAGAGGTATCCAAGTAGGACATCAAGCCATGAGAAGTTGAATAATTTTTCTGGAAAAGGACATTAGTGACAAGGTTTCTCAAGTGGGAAAAGCATCAACTATAAAACTTAACTTTGTCCACACAACCAACAATTAGTTCTAATTTGTGACATAACTAGTGTTTAAGAAATAATCTTCAATAATCCATCATATCAATATACATTTTATTTGACAAGAAGCCTGTAAATCAGCAAAAATATAGGCGGCTCTAGAACACCAGACAGTAGAAAAAATAGTGAATTAAGACTTTTCCAGTTCCGAATAGTCAAGGCAAGTTGTCTCGGCCTTCCAATGTTAACGGACGTAAAAGACTACAGGAATATTGTTCCATACGACAAGCTATTTCGTAACCCATTTTACAAGTTCACATAGAGAGTTCAGTAATTGATGACTGGACATGATGGACTGTAAACGAAAACATACGTTGGACACTAAGACTAAATACATTGCAACAAACCATAAGATTAATTTCGAATACTCCTGGGAAACCCCATTGCCAACATTTTTTTCTTGATTACTCAAAACTGTTAGCAGTCACACACAAACTCGACATAGATAAGTGAATACCTTCATATAACTGTGTTCGCTAGTAATTTGCCTTAAATTTACAAGTCTTTGGAACTAAAGGCATCGATACTGCAAGATTCTTCAGCAGGAATGGTGTGAGCTAGGCATATTCATAGGTATGAAACTTACTTTATCCCTAGGCTTGAGTGCGTTTCTGCGAAAAAACGCCTTGCAACTTTCGCAAGTCAAACGATCAAAATTATAGCCAGATGCTGGTTCACTACATACAATACAAACACGTTCTTCCTCACTTATTCCAGCTTTTCGTCTTCTGGTTCGGACGACACCAGACAAAGGGTGTTTCCGAGAACCACTCTGAGAGAACTCGTTGAAGTTGCCGCAATAATGACTATTGTTACTGCTATCATTATGGACACTCTGGATGTATTGATGATTTTGGACGTAATCCGTTTGAGTACGATTTAGGCATAGAAAACCCTCTTTGTCGTGACCAGAGTTATTTGCGTAACCAACAGATGAGGGCCCACTAATATTCATTGAATTATCTAATGGATTTCCAGGAGAAATACGGAAAGGATTGTTCCGTACATTTGTATTCACGTTTCCACTTGGATAATCATTTGCTCCAGGATCCATTGCACAAAAAGCGGCTTTTTACATCAGCGGATTGAAATACTATCTAGGTAAGAATTCTGAACAGATGTGATTTGTTTCGATTATGAAGTGATGAAGCTTATGTAGGTGACATGTTAGGTAAAGCAGTAGGTTGACCGGACAAACACCGCAAATTCTTGAAGGACGCGCCTGGCACACAATAACATTGTGATAAGCGTGTGCAAACTGATCGAGTTGTTTGAGTCAGTTTTCAGATTTTATTGTAGGATAATAAGCCTTTTCCGCCTAATACGAGATTTATAGTCTATCAGATGCATGATTTCCATTGAATTTGGTTAGCAGTTACTTCGATAGACTATCCCACTTTTTTCTCCCATTGATCCGTCCTTCATGCCCAGTTTGATAAAGGATCATTCGCACTGAATTTAACGTCCAAATTATCCGTGTGAGCTTTGAACACAATTATTCGTATCATTTCCTGATGTAAACATGAAGCTACTGTATACACATGATTAGTTACGTTATATCTACTTATCTTCCGGTAAAAACGCTTAGACTTTTGAATAGTTTCTTCACGAACCATTCTATATAGATTTAGCCTGATTGTTAGAAATCCAGCCATTTTACTCAATCCCCGATGTGCTTTAAATTATGGTAAGAATGGGGATTTGTTGAGATTGTAGTAATTTTAACAGGTGAACTCATGAGCCAATACGGCAGTCCAGTGATTCCGGGTTTTCAATGGTAGTCTAGCTTACATATACTCATGAACTCAACTATACTTTAAATGGCAAAAACATGATAATGCGAGTTTGAGTAATTATTTCCGTTGCCAGATCTCTTAGGCTTTATACAGTCTAAAGGTGCCACAAGTATTTGCAGTTTGACAGCTCCTGGACCAGTAACATCTGTATAATCGAGGTATGCCAACCCAGCCAAACCAGAAGTCAGGAATGAAGACGTTTGAAAATGTTTTGGGCAGGACATTTGTGTATCGAAGGAATTTTCGACCTAATCTAGCAGGACTTACCCACACTTGATCTGGTGTGGTTGAGTGGCAGAGAGCCTTCAGCTAGGTGAGTCCAGTAAAACCAATGTGGTCAGAGTCAAATGCCGAGGACATACAGAGATACTGATGTTGAGGGTTTATTTAACGCTACAAGTCCATTAAAAAAGCTCCGAAATTTCACTTTAAAAACCCTTATGTGATCTTATTTCTGATGTATCTTATTTAAATTTCCTTTCTTTTAAAACTTTGAGCAAGTAAACAATTTCGGTCGTCCATAATCATTATTATCTGTGTACACTTATTGTGACGTTGCATAGCTGTTAGATTATTTATAGTGTCGGTTGCTATGTTAAGCTTACATAGCTTATTCTAACTTACGGACAGGTCAACATATCCATTCTTCTTCAGTCATATATTTGACCCTGTTATTTTTGCCAATCAACCTTGACTGTTTTTATGTGAACGTATATGTGTTCATTGCTTATGTGACTCACCACATGTCTGTAACTTCTTTTTATTTGAATATAAATATCGATTAACGTTTGATTAAATAGAGTTGGCTCACACGCCTGCAGTGCGCGTCATTTCGTTTAGCTCTCTTCTCTGCATTTCCTTTGCTTAACCCTCTGATTGTCTGTCCAGACCAATGAGTGTACAAAATATACATATTCAAAAAACTGTTCTCGTTTTGACTTATTTAATTACGTTATTCACCAACGCAAGTTCGGTCGATAATAAGATACGAGGATAGCAGGCATGTATATTTCGACAGCAATTATTCGATAATGATAATCACACGATCAAATTGGAGTCAGATAATGGGCCACGGAGCACTAACCAGTAAACACTTGACTTACTTTGCCCTAATTGAATTATATGAAGTAGCAATTCAGATCGCTTTATCTAGTTTCTCACATAACTTTATTTGCCTATGTATGATATACCATTTTCTTAAATCTTCACTGGGACTTCACCAACGCCTTCGTAAACTTTTAGAACTCCGTTCAAATTAGCTAGAACACAAACTGAAGATTGGTAGTCTAAAGTATTTACATGATATAATGTACACAACATCTGTACTTAGTAGTTTTCTGTATTCATCTGGTTGAAATTTTCATCGACATAATTACTTTTCTCAGGTTTGAACTTGTAGTGGCATTGGGCCCTAACCACACGATCATCAAAGCTGAACACGAGAGAATTGGTGAAATAGATATTCAACATTTGACGCGGAGAAAAACCCAACGATGGGAACGGCGGGAGCAAGAAATTGAATTATTTCGAGTTGATGGGATGGCATGGCTCGGCTTTGCAGGCGTGGTCACTGTTGAATGTTACCTTATATATTTTACTCATATTAAATTTATTGTTCTATCTCCAGCCAGAATGTGTTCTTCATCATATATTGGTAATTATTACGATACGATGAGTCAGTGTAGACAATGATGTGACTTCCACGCAAGGTCTTATAGATTAGGCAGTTACTTCGTAACAAATGTACAATTTTCGGATTCGGTCTATCATTAGAGCAGCACTAATAACAAAGTTGAACATGATTCTACAAACTAACCATGATCACAGTATAGTACCTGGTACAAGCATATTAAACTTACATTACTGTGAGCTCATTTAGGAATTTTATATCTGATTGAACATGTAAGTGTTAAATGCATAAATTAATTTTTACTGGCAAACCTGCGGTCAGTTATCTAACTGATTCGAATGTCCTATACGTGAATGCTTCAAAAAATTTTCTTTTGTCTGTCCATGTACCAATTGTATTCTGTTACTATATTCCCATATGTACCTGAGGCGGATCGACAATGAACAATGTGTAATAATTTTAATGCAATGCAGATTGGATCGGCCTGATGCAACCCTAGATTTATTTCACTATAATACAGTTCTTGGATATCCTGTTCCCAGCAGTATTTCTGTTTGTATACAGTTGCTATTGATTCTAGGTGCCAGCGTCAATAAAAATAAGCTGTAATTCCGGTGTTAATCTAATACCATAATTATTTCGGCAAACCTCAACACGTTCAGTCCTAGTATAGTGAACGAAGACTTGAAGGGGAAAATCAGTTTACTGCTGTACGCAAAATCAAACAGTAGCTCTGCAAAATACAACCATTATAATCCTAATTCCCTCTATATACTGCTTATGTCTGTTCGCGTAAGTAGGGCATACAACACTATCATAACTGAACGCTTACTACTACATCAAGTACTGGAGTATGCATTCAAAGGCATTTGTGATCCGGTCCTTACTTAATCCATCAGTCCTTAATCATCAAGGTAAATACAAAAAATACAATACTCGAGCATTACTGCTTAAAACTCACAACAGCTAAAACTTTGAAACCAAGATCCATGCAACAAACACTATCCCTTGCACGGAGTATTGTGCAGTTTTAAAGGCATTCATTAACAACGGGTCTTTTCGACTTTAGGGTAAAATGAGGATGGTGAGGTCAGGCTACGGGTTCTCGTGCATATGTTGTTGAGCATTTCGGATGTCGTTATTTATCATCTATTGACAGCCCCGACCGAAGCTGCTACCTTGACGCGGTGGTCGGGCTTGCCTATCATGATGACCCAACCGAGCTATATTGTCTGGAACATATGTTCCTGTAGGTTCTACCATGCCAGGCAGGTCGATTGGAGAACGGGAAGACTAAAAGCAGCAACTCAAGGTCTGAGGGCGAAGTCCTACTGCTGACTGTAGAGAGGTGTGACAGCAGTAAGGTGTTTCCCTCGGACAACCAGCATCTGCAGCAATGCTGCCTTCCCACAAGGAGGGGTGGGGTTAGAAAAGGTCCACCCTAAAAATGTCACACCTCACCTTACCTCACGGATTTCCGTCTCCGGCGGTAAGGCCCTTTGAAGAACGGAGCTAGCACGTCAAAAACCTTCCACAAAAAGGCCGTGCGCGACCGGCCTCAAGCAGTTGTCCCTTGGGCTCTGCGGTCACGCTCCCAGGTCGTCAGGACTAACACTAATCCAATTTCCTTTTCAGGTTCCTCAAGAAATACCCTTCCACAGTGTGGGCAGCCGGGAAGTGACATCAGCCCTCATACCCGTAACAGCACACGATCTGTTGACAGCATTTTTCCGTCACGCGTCAAGTTTCGTAATGTTTGTGCTTGTTAAATAGCTTCAACTCCAGTTTATTAGTAGTTTGGCGTATTTGTTGCTCGCAACCTGGGCGAATGTTAAGTCAATCTGATGTGATTATTTGTAACAATGCAATATCAACCAAGCAAATTTCATCATTTATGAAGTCAAAAATAGACCGTAGTCAGATTTTTAAGCAAAAATGAGCTCGTAAACCTTTTACATTCGATTCACATCCCTAATTAAGCCTTTATCCATTATAAGTATTATCGTTTTTGACTGAACTGACATATTATTATGTAACGTATCTGAGAAAGAAAAGTTCTATGAGTAACAATTGACAATAATGGCTTTTTCTGCCCTCATTCTGAACATTTGCAGTAACTGTGTAAAACATTATAGTAACTGTCACATTAATTGGTCACATATTCCTCATAAATAAGACGATGCGTGTTTGATTTGAGCATGGTAACCAAACCATGTGGCTGGGTAAAAGTAACTTACGGTGTGCCTGTTATACGGTTAACGAATGAACTACAAACAGAATCTGCAATCCCTGACTAAATTATAAATAAGGTTCTAATACATATTGACTACTAACATCTAAATAGCGCTTACCAACGAATTTGTAGTGGTATTGGTTTTACTGCATGTAAACTGTGAATCGCTAGTTGTGTTATGAACGCTGTGGTTGTATTTTTCATAAATTCCATATTACTTCTTGAAGTTTTTAAAACGGTTTATTTGGTGCCTCCTTTTTTGAAAATACCAAATGACGATGTGGGGGTTAGAAAATGAAGAGCACTGTTTACAACCTGTAAGACATTTATAGGTACATTGTATCAGTTGATATTTCATTTACTTGTTGAGAAAAAATTCTAATCGTTTGTTTTACGATTGATTTGTTGTTTTTTAGAATTGAAATAGGTCAGTAAGGTCGCCATATGTTCTCTGATTTGCAAATTATGGTTTCTGTCAACTAATTGAGAGGCTCAAACCTTCCCAATAATGAAGTCTATGCTGGTAAACAACTTAGCGAATTTCTGGGTGTGGAAAATTATGTGACACTGTGTTTACTAAT